TATCTGAGCAGGTATAAAAAAGGAGTTTGAACAAGAAATGAGTGTAATGTACAAACAGTGATTTGGGATCGTGCAAAGCTGAAATGTGCTACGTATAAGGTGTTAATATTTTTATTGCTTTATTGAATTAATGAGTCCTTCTCCTTTTTTTTTTTTTTTTATTTCTTTCAAATTCATCTGGAATGCTACTTTTTTGAGCTCCTTTATCCCCAAATCATAATTTTAACTTTGGTCAAAATCTGTGTTTATTGTCTCTTAAATAAGTTAGACATCATTCTGCAAATGTAAAATGCGAGTTGTAAATTACCATGAGGTCATTATTTTGCTTGAATCTTCAGACTCCTCCCAGACCATTTTGCCTCTCAAACACAGCTACTCTTCTTTCCCTTCATATGGAAGCTGACTTGGGCTCTTCTTCAGTTAAAACAAATTAAAGGGAGTTGGGGAGCAGTATTGCCTTTTCTCCTCTAGCAATTCCTTTTTTTTTTACCACTATGCTGAGTAGGTAGGCAGCTGTAGTGTAAAAATTCTAGAAACCAGTGGGAAATGTTATTTCTCTTATGGACTTTTACTTGGCTCATATGAAATCTCATTTATGTTTAAACAAGACTATAATGATTTTATTATTGTAACATGTATATCATATGTTTTAAATTAATTTCTCCATAGTGTTTTTGCCGATCACATACTAGAAAGAAATCATGGTTTGAAGCACGAGACTTTTGCAGACAAATAGGAGGGGATCTAGTCACCATTAACACTAAGGAGGAGATGCCATTCCTAATCCAAGCAATGAGGTTGGTATTTGATGTGTGTTTATCTTACCAGATTCAAAAACTTTTCATATGAACTATTATGGATGATCCTAGATGACTTCTAAAATGTATGGATTCCTCAAAAGCCAAAAGACCTGTGATATTTTGAAATTTATCTATTCAGTACTATTTTAAGCTTTTTGTGGAAAAAAAAAGAGTGATTTGTGTCCAGAAAAATGTTTAAAAATCTCCACCAGTATCAAGATTACTAGATTTTATTTAGAAACATGAAATTAGTGGTATTTCCACAAGGATAGAAAATATGATCAATGTATCTACTTGAAGTAGGTATTTATCAACCTTTCAGTGCTCAGTACTGAAATGACTTTTTGAATTTGTGAAGGTTTTCCCTGAGTGAATAGTACATTGGGCAATACATGATCAATACTAATAATAAGTATGACAACTAAGCTATTGACACTGAACCAGAAAAATGTTACACATTTCTATGAAGAACATGTGTATGCACTTCACCGAAGGTAATAGGGAAATTTGCAACTTCACTGCTTTTACAATGTGCTCTAGGAATTTCAACTACGTATTTCTGGGGTTTTCTGTGCTGATGTTTACTCACTGCTCTGTTCTGTACTTTCTTTTAGAGCTGCTCGCTGTCTGTTTAAAAAAGTTTGGCTTGGTATATTTTCCTTGAATCCAGATGAAGGATTTGCCTGGAGTGATGGCTCTCCAGTGAGTATCTTAATTTTTCATCATATTTGTTTGCTTAAGATGCTTTGGGATTTGTATATGTACTTTTTGGCTTTTTGCTGTTATCCTCATTAAAGAAACCACCAATCTTAAAACATTCATGTAGCTGCTAATCTGCATTGTTATGAATAATATCACATTGTTATAATAATATCACAGCTAAACATTTGAATACATGGAAATTATCTGCATCTCAGCAGATTCTGTAGGTTTTCTGTGTAACACTCCAGTTTATTTTCTCTTCCAAGAAGATATTTATACCTAAAGTCAAAACATAAAAACATAAATGTCTAAAAAGTTAATGAAACAGTAAGCATGTTGCCCAGTGTACTCCTGAATCCCCTAGTAAGTGATGGCTCAAGGTCTTTTAGAACTGGAGCTCATATCTGCAATTTTAATTTATGTATTTCTGGGAATTTATTCAGTCATCTCTTGAGCCTATGCAAATATCAACAACTGTGAAAAAAATTCCTGCAGGATTCTACTCTTTATTACCCTCCATTTTCTACCAGTCCCTATTCTTTGGTTTTCTTTAACACAAGCAAGGACCTTTTGTCTTATCCTGTTTCTTTCCACAAAAGTTTAAGAAAGGAATGTTATCAAGAATTCTTGGCAATAATAGGTGGGTTGTATCACATATGTCTCCCTTACCACTTGGATGTCAGATTCTTCAGAGGTATATCCCTGAGATTTGTAGGACATGACTTCCCTCCCTAAAGTCACAGTCCCGTCCTCATTAGCCACAGGGAAGGGAAAAAGTAATGCTGAATTGATGCATGACATGGTCACTGCCACCAGAGAGATGCTGCATAATGTAATTTTGAACCAGGCCAGAAGTGGAGTGAAACACTCTCCCTGCATTTCCAGCTCTTTTTAGCTAAAACCAGGATCTTTGAGACAAAAGCAATTAATTTCCATTTTCCAGTTGAAAGTACAGCTACCAAAAGAGATGAAAAGAGTAACAAAGTTGATTTCTTCTATAGGTTAGGTACACAAACTGGGATGGTAGTCCAAGGAACCACGGACGACTCCAGTTTTGTGGCTTATACAATGATGGGGGAAATTCTCTACCATGGTCTCTTTCGGTCTGTCAAGTACAGCATAACTGGGTTTGCCAAATAAAACAAGGTAGATTTCTTATTTTTTGGCAAGAAGATTAAAAAACTTTAATTATTAGTTGCTTTCTAAGTTAAGTTACTGGAGAAAGAGGCAAAATTTTGAAGAACTTCTTTTTCCAAACAGAGGTCAAGAGCATTAAGTAACTTATTATGGGCAGAGATTTTTCAATTATGACTGATAAGAATGAATTCAATGTTTCTTTACATAAAATAGGGTGTGTAAATAATCCATATGTTTGCAAGATTACAGATTTTTTTGATATTAAGTAGCTTTTGCTTTTATTTTTGTAATGTTGGCGTTAAGGAGTTGTAAGGGCTAGCATTGTATTCCTTACAATACTGGTTTTTATATTAACACAGGTGAAGCTTAAAATCAAGTATGATATCTTTGTCAGATTTCATGGTACTTCAGGTTCTCCTGTAGAATTATTCAGGATTCAACTGGTTTTGTAAAAGCAATGGTTCATAGCAGCGCTATTTCTTTTTGTATCCCAACCAGAAAAAACTCACAGTTATTTTATATATTTATATCATCTATATCTATACCTAGATATATATATGCACATTCATAAAGTCATATTTCCTTTTGCTTATAAATATTACTCAGAGAGTTTTCTTGATAGAGCTAAAATAAATCTAGTGGAGATTTTCTCCCTCTTGATGAAAATACCCCCAGGTGAATTATAGAATATCTACTAATGGATCAGTAAAGGAGCTGTATGCCACAGTTTAAAGTGTTTCAGATAAGTTGCTGTGACTTACAGGCTTGGAAGAACAATTTTCCCTTGCCTTGCTTTGTGCAGGAATGTGATTCAGCCAAAGCTGTGGCTTTGCGGAAGTAAAGCACTGCTTATGATACAAAGTTAAAGTAGATGACCTTGCCTTTTGAGCAATGTGAAGCTGAACTGTGTGGCTAAGCCTGCTTAGTAGTGAATGCCAATGGGGTGAAGAATTCTGCTTTGTTCCTCCCTCTTGCAGTCAGCCATAAGCTACATCATAACACACTCTAAAGAGATGTATCATGCTTCTATTTCTTCTTTTGCAGGAGTGTTATTAAAACCTGAACCAATTGACACATATGGTAGGTCTTTGTATCTATTTTTTTATTATAAATATTTTTTTCCTAAAATTGTTATTCTAGAAAAAGCTTTTGCGTTCAACACATATAAAATTTAAGGGTACCTTATTTATCTTCCAGAATATAAAACCACTGCAGATGGATGGGTCATATATGAAGATAAGCTCTACTATATCAGCAAAGAACAGGTCTCCATGGAAAGAGCCCAAGAGTTTTGCAGGAAGAATTCTGCAGACCTAGCTGTTGTTAATAGTAACAGTGAGAGAAGGTTCCTGAAGAGAGCACTAAAAGAAAATGTAAGAGTCTCTATAAACAGACTACCTAAAGTAAAAACACTTTTGACAAACTGCTTGTAAAACTATCTCAGAAGCAGAGGCATCAGCATTTTTGTTAATGAAATATTCCCAGAAACACCCTTTGATCCCATGGGATTTGGCCTCCCCTGCTCCACCCCAGCTGTGCTGATGCAGTTGACAGGAAGAGTGATGTGGGAAGGTACCAACCATCTTGAAAAGCAGCTGCCCTTCGAGGGAGAATAAAAAAGGAGTACCAGTTTCTGACTCAAAATCTGCTGCTTTTCTACTCCCTCCTAAGGGTCTTCAGAGCTGCAGGTCTTGGCTCTGATGTCCCAGATGAAAACCTGACTTCTGTGCCTGAGCAAATGAACGCATTGCAGCGGTTACCTGCAAGCAGGTTCTTTACTGCTGTGGACTTCAGTGGCTGCTCTGTGGGCCTAATCAATGGTGTATCAATTTCTGCTTGTTTTGCTTCAAAGATTTCTCTTTTAAATTGAAGTAGTGTCTTTCTGATTTAGGAGAGGTATGGGGGAGAGCAAATAGGATACTTCATTGGTCTGAGAGTGAGCCTTGATAAAAAGTTCAGGTAAGTTATGATCATTGGTGCAGCTTCTAACATGTAGAAACAAATGGAATATTTTATGAAGCTGGAGGGACTCAATAGGTTCTCTTGAAAGTCTGAAGGCTGCTCCAGATACTGTGTACAAAGCAAAATGGAATAGTCCTAGAATATTCTAAAGTGCAATAGTTTCCCCAAAAAGAAATAGTAAAAGAACATTTATTTTCCTTGGGTAAGCACTTAGCCAAAGAAAATCTTGGCGGCTCTACTCTCCATACACACTTTCTCAAGTTTCTTCCAGAGATTTGTCCCATAAATTGGAGTGATATTTTGCTATACTGAATTTTATGCCTATGAACATGCACACATACACTTAAAACATGCCCTATATCGAAGGGTTTGGCTTTCTTGTGTTTTTTATCTATATATCAGAGGGGTTCTCCAGAGTTAGGAAGACACAGGCCATGACTACAAAAGGCAATCTCTGCAAACTCCTATTCCAGGAGAAAAGTCAGCAGAAATTTACAGTACAGAAACAGTAACAAGTATTCTGAAAATACCAATGCACAAATCAAGTCAAAACTAAGCTAAGAGATGGCAAAAAGCATGATACACTGCTTACCTTCCAACCTACTAGTTAGGATGTACCTGGGAGGTGAAAAAAAGTCCTTCTGAGGTTGATCTGGAAAAGGTTAAAGGAGATTTGACTTTAACCTTTCTATTTTAATGCCACTGTTGAATGTATGTAAGTCACTTACCTTGAGAAAGGCAGAAGAGGAGTGGGGAGAGAAGTTGATAGTGACTGAGTTGGTAAATGGCTTTAACCTCCTGATTTAGGGACATAGAGAATTCCATGTATCTGGTGATAATCTCCTTTATTTAGAGCAATTGTATCATCAGCAGTAAGACATAGATGATGCAGCTGAAATTTTTTCCACTTCAGGCTTATTGATCTAAATTCTGAAATAATGATTAAAAAGTGGTGAAAAACTCCTCTTCCTCCAACAGAAATATATTAAAGTAAAAAGCAGGTAAACATTGAGGAAAAAGTTGCAGTTTTGGTACTTTAGAAAGGATGGTTTTAAAGTTGACAGAATGTCCTTTAGTTTACAGAAAAATAGACCAGTCCCCCCTACTCCCCCATAGAGCAGAGTGAATCCAGAGAAAAGTATTTTCATTCTTGTTTTCACCTATAAAAACACCACCAAATGCTCAGATTGAAAAGCATAGTGTTACCTAGGAATAAAATAGTTAGTATAATAACTATTAAGACAAAAATAACTATTAAGATAAAATTTTAATATCCTTCCCTGTAGTATGTATTATGAATAACTGATTTTGATTCCTCTTATTAAATGTTGTCAAAACAATTGTGGCCATAACAGAAAATATGTTTTCTAATTTGCAACCAGAAATATTTTACAGAAATGTCTTCAAATTAGAATAATCAAGCAAAGAAAGGGCAATCTCTAATAGCCCTTCCCATTGTAGTCAGTTTCCATAAATCCTCATAGACATCCTTACTCATGAGGTGTTCATTAAGACTACTATATCACAAATGAATATATTAATTAATAACTACTTGTCTATCTTTTCTTTAAGCTGGGTGGATGGAACTCCAGTAACCTATGTGGCCTGGGCTCCTAATGAACCCAACTTTGCAAATAATGAGGAAAATTGTGTGGTTATGCTGTCAGAGCATGGTAAGTGACAATACAAAACTATTAGATTTTATTTGCCTCTGCTGGGATTATAACTAGTGCTGTCAAACATCTGCTGTCAACTGTCACCAATCTTTAGTAGCTGTTTTCTGCAATTTCTTTCCAGTGATAAACCAACATAATGCAGTGACTTCCAGTCATGAGACCACCAGCCATGGAAGAGTCTATGCCCCTAGAATGGGGTGATTTCAGTACCACGAGCCATTTAAAGCAGAGATTTCCTTCTGGGTTTTTTCCTTTTTACAGGGCTTTTCACTACTTCTTTCAGTAAAAATCTGAATAGTCTATCTTCTCTTCTATGAACTTAAGAAAACATTTACAGCAGCTACAGGAAATTGGACTTAAATGTACAAGTCAACGAGGAAAGAAATACATCTAATATCCTAAGATATGTTTACAAGTACACCAGAATGGAAATTTCTTGCAAATCCCAGAGCTCCACTTCCTCTTGGGTCTATTTCTGTAACTTTAATGAGGCTAGTGGGAATTTAGTACATATGTATTGATCTCTAAACTTATGTTTTACAAATAATCAATGAAGTATGTTTGAACATCTATTGTGCCATTAGATTGATCTGGTATTTCTTCTCTCATCAATTTCTGAACCTTTTTTTTTTTAATTTGCTTATTGGTGTATTTCCCCCATTGCTTGCAATGCGATGATGCCACAGCTCACAAAAACCCCCATGAACAGGTATAGACACATTGGAGAGGACCCTGAGCAAGGAGCAGATGGGTCAAGGAGCTCAAATTAACTACAAGGGGCTACAGTACTGTTACAATTAGAGCTTACTTGAAGGTGCCAGGTTGCTTTGCCTTCAGATCAAGCTGTAGCCTGAAATAAAAAATAGAGAAAAATCTCTTTATTAAAAAAATGATAAATTATTATTACTAAATATTAAATACTATTAGATGTTGAATTTTTTCTTTTTATTTCCCAGGCCTGTGGAATGACATTAACTGTGGTTCTGTCAATAAATTTGTATGTGAAAAACATAACAGTTCTATCAATTCAACATTTCCTTTTCCATTGGCTCCTGGAGGATGTCCAGAAAGTTGGATATTTTTTAACAACAAGGTATGTCAACAAACTTCTTCAGTAAATTGTGTAAAGCAGTAGAACTGAAGAGAAAATACTGAAAACCTCACATTTTTTATGAATATAAAGTAAATCTGGAGAGTAATTGCTTAGTCAAAATGTGCAGACTGGATGGCTGGGCTTTTTTTGAGGTGACTTAGACATCTAACTTTGCAGAGAAATACAAAGTAAAAGTAGGTGTATGCTGAGTACATTTCAGAAAGCATAGTTTGTGCAGGCTTAAAATACACTGTTACTGTGTATTACTGTTAAGAAAACCTCTCCTCCTCTGTTCATGTATGTTATTTTGTTTATAAATGCAAGTTTGTAATGGTCAATCTTGTAAAAAAGGTGGAAAGGTTTAGAAAGAATATATTTGAGCAACCCCTTCTGCCTGTAGGGGTTCACAAAGCTTTGAATTCAGAAAGATGATGCCTCCTACAATTGTTTTGAGGACAGTTTTGCATTCAGTCACAGTCTGGAAGTACTCATCGCTGTAAGACAAGAGTTAGTACCAATCTGAGTTGAAGCTCCATCTACCAAAGGCTATTTTGTCTACTTTATGTACACTGTGCTGTTATTGCATCCTCAGAATTCCAGGTCAATGTGCCAAAGGATATTTCACACCCTTTGGCAGGATGAGCTGTTGCAACCACAGTCATCAGAAGGGGGACAAAGCACAGCAGAGATAATTCCCTGCAGCTGTGTCACCCAAAGCCACATTTTCTTGGTATCAAATGATGCCTCCTATTACTGCAGAAGAAGGCAGATGAAAATGTGAAAAGTGATTGTGTACTTGACCTCGTTACAATCAGTTCATTTGATACCAGGCTCCCAGATTACACCTTGTACAATGGGGAGGGATAAGAGTATGCCTGGGTCTGCCTATCCAGACTTTCTACCCTTGAGCTCTGTCACTCATTCTAGCCCTGATTTCTTTTTCTGCAGAAAAGTACATCTTAGACCTAATTGATAACATTCACATATAATAGTTCCAGTCTTTGCTAGTTTGAGAAAAGTGCTTGATTTTTTTCCAGTGTTTCAAAGTATTCGCTTCCAATATAACAAGAAATCTCACGTGGCATGCTGCACAAGGTGTTTGCTTCAATTTGGGAGGAAACCTGGCTACTATACCAAATGAACAAGTGCAAGGTATGTATATGGGCTCTATTGAAAGAAAAAATCTCTATCTCTCACTAAAGAAACTGCTACACTCTCCAATATAAAATATGGGATTACCTGATGAAAATTGCTTATTAGCCAGGTCACTCCATGGTTTATTTTAACTTCAAACTCCAAGGCAATAGCTAAAATTTTTACATATAAGAAATAAAGTTTGTTTCTAGGTCTTTCAGCTGCTTTGTTTTCATGAAACTTCCAGTGTGTTCTGAGGGTGGTTCCACAGATCTCTCATACTGACAGAAATCTGTATTTCCTGTTTCTCTCACTGGCAACAGGACTTTCTGTAACCCTATGTGTGTATACACAGTGGGGAAGGGATGCTTATCTAAACATTTAATTAATGGCAGATGGGCTGTGTAGGGGAAAATGTTGTCCTTTTATTACATCCCCCCTTTGGGCTTTTGCACATTTCCCCTCTTTTAGGCAAGTCATGATGAGCTTTCCTTAATGAGAAATCTTTGCTTCTCTCCAGCTTTCATTTTCTATCATTTGAAGCATGCCACAACTAATGTTTGGATTGGAATGAATGATATCAACAGAGAGTCCACATTTCTTTGGGCAGATGGAAGCACTGTTTCCTACACCAACTGGGTTAATGGTGCACCAGAAAAGCAGCAAAGCTACTTTGACTATTATGAGTTTGAAACAGTGACAGATGATGCTCTGGAGGTACAGGAAATTTAAGTAACTTCTATACCTTGGGCAGGTAGTTGATTTTCCTAAAAGAAAATTTACAGCAGTAATAATAGGATGCTGAAACAAGTACTTTTAAAGCAAAATGGGGTTTAGTAAATCATCTGATAATGATTCCAAATACACTCAAATGTTTGGAAAAGGTTCTGTAGAAGAGGATTTTTAGCCTTCCATTTGAACTATTGCCAAAAAACCAGCTCTATAAAAGAAGCTTGGAGAAACTTATATCAGTTCCTCCCCAAACTGCATTAACGCAAGCACTACAGCTGCAACACCAAACAAAGAAAAGGTATGATAAACCAAAATCAAGATTTTTGATGCTACAATAATTTGGCTGTGTGTATGTCCAAATTCTGGCTAATGTTCTCCCACACTGCTTTACTTATTTCTGATGGCACAAATTGATATCTTCAGTGAAATTACTCTTTCACTGCAGAAACTCAGGCTCTTTTCCAAAGGTGGTAATTTCTGAGGAAATGATTGGCAGTTGTTCACCCAAGATTTTTAACATCTGCCATCAGTCAACTTTAGCTGATGACTAAAACTTATTTAAATCAGCATAAAGGAGAAACTTGAATGACATGCCAAAAGACTGCCATGGCCAATCTTGAAATCAGAGGAGTCATGAAGGAAATACTGGAGCAAGTAAACATAAGAAAGCAAAGAGAAAATATTTTGTTGCATCTGATAATGGTGACTTGATAATGACTATAAAAAGCCAGCAAAGAGCATCTGCTTTCTGCAAAAGAGTCTGCTTCAATTAGACTAGTGTAGACTAGCGCTTTTAACAGTAATTCTTATATTGTTTTTCTCATTGATAAAAGTATTTTGAAACAGATCTCCATAACTGTAAATCAGAACAGAGAAGATTTATTATAGGTACCTTAGTCTCTTATGCAGTCATGATGGGGTTCTATAAAACTGGTACAATGGGTTTTAATTGACTTCTTTCAGACCTTGGCACCAGTGGAAGCCTGGTTCAAATTTAAGGGGTCACTACTAAATACCAGGTCAAGCTGCTTGGCAGAAACCTAGGAAATTTGAACTAATTTATGCAGGTGTTCAGTGAGCTCCTCTCCTCTCCCCTCTGCCATCAGGGCTGCACTAGCAGCAGAGGAGCTGCAGCTCACCCGCTCCCCACTTCCTCTTGTAATGGCTGTGCCTCTTCCCCTCCCCTTCAGACAGATTGTGTCTTCATCATGAAGTCAGATGGGAGGTGGAGAGATGATAGCTGTGACAACGAAAGAGGCTACGTATGCCAGATGAATTCACGTGAGTTCTGTTCCACCCAGTCTCCTAAAGAGGAAGAATACCTTGGTTAGATAAGATGAATCTGTAACCTGATGTGATTCCTTCCACCTTTGAGTCTTCTTCTGAGTCTCAGGCTTTCAGACCTCTATCAGTGTTAGGGCAGTGCTATGTTTAAAGTACAAATTGTTACACAGAAATTGCTGGAGAGGAACCACTATCTTAATCGTGAGTTTTGTGCCTAATCATGAGTAATACTAGAGGATAATAAATGAAAATGGCTTTTTTTTTTTCTCAGTGAAGTGTAAGAGATTTAGGCATCCTAAATGCAGTAGAAATCATATTCTTGCAGTAATCTTTCCATTCTCTTGGATGAATCTGAGCAGAGCATTTAATCCTCTCTCACAATTTCTACTGAATGCTATATGATGTCAATCAAAATGTACAGCTTCTTGGATGTGCCTTGTTGTCTTTATTTGTACACCAAAATGAGTAATGAATGTTGACTTTACTCATGTAGAATTTTAATTATACAAATCACAGCTGTCCGAGCATATAATGTGAGTAGAGAAGGCAAAGCACTGATAACAAAAAAATTACGCCTCAGCTTTATTAAAGCAAAAATTATTCCCTGATTTCAGCCTGTTCACTCTCAGCACAGCTAACATGCTTGTAAGAAGACCCTCTCCCCGCACAGCAAATATAGTTTTATGGAGGTATTTTTAATTTTCCTGATCCCAGTTCCAGCTCTTCTGAATACATTTACAATCACAAGGGTGGAAATGTACACTGCCTGACTCAAACATGCAGGCAACATTCTGGCAACCCTTACAGATAAGCCAAGAAGTTGGAGTGAACAGCAAGTGGTGATCAATTAAAAACAGGTCTCAAAGTCTTAGGCTAGGTCTAGAGATTACAACAGTTAATTAATGCCTTAAATGCCTTGTCCTAAGTTCTATCCACCAGCAATGAGAAATAAATGTATACTCAGATATTTAGATTTAGCTAAATAACTTAAAGCACAAAATCTGAAATATGCAGTCTAGGAGTCTTAGACTGGACCAGTCAAGTCTATAGAAAGTACACTCTACTTCAGGCATCCAGGATTTCACTCATCTTATTACATTAACAAATTTGCTCCATGTCTTAAAAGTTATGTTTGGCATTTTTGGGGGGTTGGGGGGGGGTTATTTGGTTTGTTTGTTTTTATTTTGGTTTTTGATGTTGTTTTGTTCATGAGCTTAAAAAAGATTTTGACTTATTGACTAGGACCTTTTGACCAATTTTTCATATCTTGCATGCTGCAGAAGAGCAATCTGTTGTAAATTCATTCATTCATTCAGTTTTTCTTCCATAGTTCCCTCACAGCCTGAATTACCAACAACAAATCCAGCCTCTGGCTTTACTCGTTATGGTGACAGTAGCTATTCAATCATTTCATCTGAAATGCAATGGGAAGAGGCCAGAAGAAATTGCCAAGACAAATCTGCGGATCTTGCCAGCATTTCAGATGCCTACATCCACTCATTCTTGTGGATCCAGATGCTGAAATATGGAAAACCTGTATGGATTGGTCTTAACAGCAATATGGCAAGTGCTGGATAGATGGGAGGTGCGGGTGCTCAGGGAATTTT